GGTGGGTGGGTGGGTGGGTGGGTGGCGGCGTGTTTGTCGGGAAGCTGGCGGTTACAAACGCGGAAGCGGAGATTCGGTTCCTTCTATGCATACAACTTTTTTCAAGACTACTGCTGTCCATGGATACATGTGGAGGACGGAGGAAGCACCCGGAACGAGGTCAGTGCGGTCTTGCGATGTATAAGACACAGACTTCCCAACAACAGGCCGAGATGCCTTCCCGCATGGTCGGATGTAAGTGTGTGCAGAGACGCAACTGAGACTTGAAACGGACGATGATGAGAATACTCTTGTGGAGTACTAGCATGTTACGGCTATCAACTGCTGGCTAGTCACTGCTGTAAATGCTCGCGATTTCAAAACATGAAAAAAAAAGAAAGAGAATCAAGCCACCTGTTCGGGGAAATAATTTTTCCAGACTAAATCATGGCGCTGTTTGGTCGTTTGGTCAAAAAGACTTCTCCACGCTGTTGCACCTCCACAGATCGTGGTATACAAAATACTTGCGAATGCATGCGGTCGCCTCAATCATGCCATACTTGCATGCGCAAGAAACAAAATTACATACGCATCATGGTACTGTATTAAGAGTATCGAGCCGGACAAAGGACATTACATCACGGGCGAACGGCATGATCACTCTTGGAAAACAGTCTTCATCGTAGCCCTCAGCACAACTATTCATGCGTATATACTTATTTCTTGTTATTTTCGGCCTGGTCTGTTCTTGTCCTCGCTCGTTTTCATTTTTTTATTTTCTTAGTATGACACAACGAATCCGTCTCTATCTGAGAGTCTAAGATAGATTAGCAATGAATCCATAGCGTCAGAGGAAGGCTATTTTCTTCCTGTTTCCTTTTATTTTTTCCTCTTTTTCCCTTTTTTCTCTTTGTTTCTCTTTTTTATTTTTCTTAATATGACACAACGAATCCATCTCTGTCATAGAAAAGAGTCAGAGACAGATTAGCAATGAATTCATAGCGTCAGAAAGTACCTGTATGTCTACGATTTCCAGACAGCATATAGGGACATCTCCCCTGCGGGTAACAGGCTCAACAAAACAGTTTGGTAGCTGTCTTGTGTGTCTCATATATGCTATGTTGGGAAGGTGCAGAGGAAAGGTGTTAGGTACTGTTGGGTAGTCGGGGCGTTTTGTGTGTGGCACCCTGTTAGTCGTAGGGCATACAATCTCCCTCAGTTTTCAAACGTATTTTCAGCGTGGTCTTTTTCTCTCTTTTTCTGTGCCATGGCCTTGTCTCTGTCATTTTTTTTGTCTTGACTTCAAATCAGCGCTCACAGCACTAGTGCCATTTACTCCAACCCGTGGTCACACAGAAGAGCCCCTCTCTACCCTCCCCTTCTGCGGTACTTTGCCTTCGATTTTTAATGCGAGAAGAGTTCAGCACTCTCTTCCCTCTGTGTACACACGAACAAGCGCTATCCACTAGGCCAGGAGCGGAAGCGAGAGAAAAACTCACTTTGCAAGAAAAGCTCGCTTACGCCGGGATTCAAACCCCTCACCTGACCTCTAGAAGGTTTCGAGGATACCAACTAGACCACCGGGGCGAACGGCTAGTCTCTGCTTGCGTGTGAAGCACCAATATTGAACCAAGGGGGTGTACCTCTTTCTGGCCCGTGATAGTGACTCCTAGTCTCAGTTGATACCTCGCATAGCGCCCAGAGATAGCGGAGGGCTCCAGAATATCTGTCGTTGATTTCTATTGACTTGCGGACCCCTCGGCGGCAGTTTATATGAGTGTACCTTTTTTAGGGCAAGTTAGCCTGTGACCACGGCAATCGACCGCGTCAAGTGTTGGATCAGTACGGACATATGAAGGTACTATGTAGAGAGAGATCGGAACGGTTTTTAATATGAAGACAACAACAACAACAACAACGGTCCGCATCGAAAGAAAGATGATGACATCGCTTGGTAGATATTTTCCCCACACCCAGCAGCAGCAGCAGCAGCAGCAGCAGCAGCAGCAGCAGCAGCACATGTATTTGATCTCATGCTCTCGAATGCAAGCCCAGCAGCCTAAAATAAATAGACAGGAATCAAAGATGGCGCCTCGCCAATTCAGCAACGCGAGGAATCTATTATCATCTATGTTAAAATGTATTGCCAATCTTGTGACCCCCCCCGTCGTGTGGTAAACAAGGTCTTTGAAAACGTTTGCATCATGTGCATGCTATGCGTACCACAGCTACTAAGGGTCCCAAACAAGGGGCCGGGGCGATGGATGGTCTCTTCCTCTGCCCGTGTGGTGCCTCCCGTCTGCTGAAAAAACACGCGTGATTAAATCTCAACCGCCTGTATTTGCAACTAACTCTTGCGGCGCAGGAGGGCCTCGGCCACCGATCGATCGATCGATCGCACGCCCCCCGTTGCCCTGCTAGGCATGTACTTGCATATAGCAGCAGTGCTTGTTGTATAGTCTATTCCACCAAGCGGAGGACACTGATGATTGTATCGACCAAACGTTAATTAATTGCGACAACCAAGATGAACAAGAGTTTGCGGCCAGCAAAACAACGTTTGAGGAGCACACAGAGTCGGAGAATGCGGATTAAACTCGTGTCGTCGGCAGCAGTATCTGTCACACTCGAAAACGCACGCGTCTTTTGGAGGACTCTCCTCGGGGTCCATTTTTGCTTTATTTCTATACAATATACTGCTGTAAGAAGGTTAAGCTTGCACCCCTCTCTTTGCAACCACGGAAGAAGTCCGCGTCAGTTGCACCACCAGTACGGACGTTCAGAGAGTCTTAGCGGAGACCGAACGGTTTTTCAAGTTTTTCAAGTGGGAAGACAACATGAACAACAACACCAACAACAACAACAACATCTGACTATTGCACTGCTGTGGTTTGTCTCGCTTCGCTTGCTTGCTGCCCTACCCCAGGGGGGAAGGGAGAGAAATATGGGCGTGCTGTGTTTTATTGTAAGAAAGTAAACGTAACCTCACAGAAACACTACACCCGTTCGAGATGTGTGAGTAAGAAGCTTGTATTGTACGGAGTAGCTGGTACAGGTGCGATCTGTGTTGGGGCAGTGCAGAGATAGGATCGCACAAATACTGCTGCTGTATGCATCTAGGTGCCGATGAACTGATGAAGGACAGCCGATTCCCCAAAACACGTGGAGTTTGCTCTGTGTACTTAGATTATCGGACGCAAAATAAGAATTCTTGTAATTTTTCGTCTTTCGGTGGAGGGTCTTTTCTTTGCTTTCCCACCACCCGCCACCCTGGCAGGCTCGCTCTTTCTCCTCCTCGTCACAACAAGAAGCTCCACACGACACACACACACTTCGTGCCGCACCAAACTCGATGGGACAACTTCGCTGTCTGTGCGGACACTTCGTTCCACACCAAACTCGATGGGACAACTTCGCGGTCTGTGCGTTTCGAAAGCAACTGCAAGCATTCGCATCCCCAATTGACCGATACACGTTTGTAATCCCTTCCATCAACAAAAACGAAGCCACTGGTCGCGGGCGGGGCTGCGGGGCGGCGGGCGTTTGCAGCAGCCGGCTGGCTCCTTTTACCTAACGGAGAAGCTTCCGCGCGACCTTTTTGTAGTATAAATAAGAGTAGGCATGGTGTGCCGACATCACTGATCCCACAGCTTGCTAGTCCTGCCCGCAAGTGCAAGCAGCCAGCAAGGCCTACGTTAGACCCCAACCGCCCCAAAAGCTACTGCCTTGTCGTGTTATCGTGTGTGCGGCATCGTGGCAACCCCGGGTCTTGCGAACATGTTTGCCTTTTTTTGGGAGCGAACGGTTCTTGGTATGCACAGCAGTACGTCGTACAGAGAGACGGTAATATCGGCTCACCAACAGAACAAGCCCTGTTGGAGGAGCGTCGGTTGCGATGCGCATCAACGAACCTGCCTGCCTGCACCGGCCATCAAACTCTGGGTTCTAACGGCTGCTGTAGAACATGAAACAGCAGCCCCTCCCAAACGCAGGCACGGTGGGGCTTCGGTGTGCGCACACCCTTATTTGTTATCTCTATCTCTCTCTCTCTTACCAGCTCCCCGAAGTAACGTCCCAAGTAGACCTTGGAAAAGGCTCCCTGCCCAATCTGGGGACCGATGTCGACATCGTCCATGTTCAGGTAAAAGTCGCTGTCATTGAAGCTGAGCGCGTTGTCTCCCGAGCCCATGGCGTCGCCGTTCTGCGTGCTGCCCAGCAAGGACGCATCGGCCAGAGAGCTGCTCATTCCTGAGCTCCCTGCTGCTCGCGTTGTGGGTGGGTGTGTTGCCTGCCTTTTTGTTCGCTCGTCTCTCCTGCTGGTCTCCTTTTTTCCGGTTGCGCAGACAAGAGGAAAAAGTGTGTTTTATTCGCGTCTGTAATAAGCAGACCGATGACCACCTATCTATGCCCTTTGTTGTTGTTGTTTCCTTGCTCTCTCCCTCCCGAACCAAGCTACCCGTCCATCCAAGACGACGCACCTGGACCCTGTACCGCTCTCTCTCTCTTTTGGCCAATCGTCACTCTAGTGCATTGCTTTCTCTGCTGTGCTGCTGCTACGAGCAAGACACGACAGACGACGGCACGAGAGACAGACGTGGGGGAGACGGAGACAGAGAGAAAGCGGTTGATTGAATGTGCATACCCTCGTCCAAAAGCGGTTGGTGCACCCCCCCGGTCCCAAACACACACAACACATCATATACCAAACCCCACAGCAGCACAGAGCAGCCTTGCACCCGCTGGCGCCGTTGTATTATATGGCACACTAGGGCTGGAGAGGACGCAACACACCTAATTGTCTCATAGCTTCGCTGAGCCAAAGCAGCTGCAAGGCAGGCAGCAGGCACTTGTTGCAGCACGACAAGAGAGAAAAGGGGGAGTTTCAAACGCTCCTAAAATAGCCAACGGCAATCGCCGAGAACCATTGCCGAGATAGATTGAGTGTAGGCGAGGGAGACAGCAGCGAGCCAGCCAAAGGAGAGGGCAACGCCACGACTTCTTGGCTTAGGGGAAGGCAGGGAGGATGGACGCCTCCAGCTTAAGCGCTTGGGCAAGCGAGCTAGACTCCAAGAACACCAAGCGCCGCCTGCAGGTTCTGGAAGATCTGGGAGCAGCCTTGCAGTCGCAACCGCCGCGATCATCATCCGAGACAGCTTCGGGAGGGGGCCTAGCCTGCAACAACGACGACAACTCGTGGCAGCAGATAGTGGCTCCGCTCGTACGCACCCTGCGAGACAACAACTTCAAGGTCTGCCGCGCGAGCCTGGCCTGCCTGGAGAGCCTCGTCACCCGGGTCATCGAGCAAGACGCCGCTCGTCAGACACCAGTGGGCCGCACCGCCACCGCCGCCACCGCCGCCGCCGCCGCCTCCGGCCGCAATGGCAGCGCCAACAGCAGCATAACGCCGTTCCTGTCCCTGATCACGCCGGCGGTGGTAGAGTGCCTCGGCAACTCCAAGGCTGCCGTGCAGGAGAAGGGCATCGACTTGCTGCTGGCCGTTAGCGACCCAGCGGTCGCCGGGGGCCGTGACATCGTCTCCTCGCTGCAGCGGCACTTCGCCGGGCACCGGAACTGGCGCGTTCGGGAGCGGCTAGTGGCGTACCTCGGGCGCGTCGCAGAGCTGGACCCCGCCGGCATCAACAGCATCCACCAGCAGCAGCAGCAGCAGCAGCGGGGGGGTGTGGCGGCGGAAACAGAGTCGTCCTTGCTGGCAGGACTGTTGGCGGATGCACTCAACGACTCGGCCTCCCAGGTGCGGCAGGAAGCGCTGGCGGCGGCGACGAGGGTGGTCGGGATGCTCGCAGGGAACGGCGGTCCAATTCTGTTGGTGAGTGGGTCGAGGTTTCGATAGCGGTGTCCTCTTCAACGGTGTGGGAAGTGTGTATGTATGTCTTCCAATTAGCATCAACCGCGCTAGCCAACGAAGGGACGTCAGTTTGTGTGTGTGTGCGGTTGCGTGAGGCCGCCTTAACGGTCCGTACCTTCCGTCGTGGTTTGTTGTGGGCTGGGCGAAACAGCAGTTGACCTGTCACGGTCTTCCGAGACGTGGAGAAGCAGCGCAAACGTAGTTGGAAGCCAGTAGTCTGTTGCATTCGCGCTTTCTGGTGACCCTCGCAAGCGGATCAAGATAGATGCACACACTTTGCCGTTACTGTACACATCTATCTATCACCGCACGTTCAAGCAATCGTTGCTATGCCCCATCAGAGCACGCGTGTTCAGGACAGCACAGATACCGCGAAACAAGTCAAGATCATCGCTTTGGCGACGAGCACCCCGAACCGACAGAAGTGCAGATTTTTTTTATGCGGGTGAATTGCGGTTACTCCGCCCTGTCTCTAATCTTGCGCACCGCCCCTCCCCGCTCGCTCTTCTCCAGGCCCAGCTGGAGGCGAAGGGGGTCCGGCGAGTAGCGCTCTCGGCTCTTCGGGACGCCGGGAGCGGCAGCGCCACTGGCGGCGGCGGCGGCGGAGAAACGGGCTTCGCCTTCACCGAAGGCGCCGCTGCCACAGCAGGCCTGCTGTCACCGATCACTCCCGAGCCGCAAACATCGTTCCGTTCCGGCGCGGCCGCCGCCGCCGCCGCACAAGCAGCAACGACGGTACATCGCGCTGCTGCTGCTGGTCACGGTAACGCCAACGGCGGCGGCGCTCGCCTCACGACGGCGACCAGAAGAAGAAGGCCGACGGCCGCGGGAAAGGGGGGACGGGGAGGAACTACGTCTGTCTTGACGCGGGCGGGGGCAGGCGTACCAGAAGGAGAGCGAGGAGCGCCTACACCGACCGGTGGGGAAGCGGCCGGGCGTGGTGGTGGCGCCAGTCGCGCGGGTTCCCCTACGTCCTTGATCGGGAACAGCCCGCGGGGTTTGGCGCTGGGCAGCGGTGGGGAAGAATCGGCTTTTTCCGCGTTGGAACCGCTGGTACGAACGAGGATCTGTTTTAGGGGGTACACGGTGGTAGGGTACTGCTGTCGCCAGTCGGTCGGTCGGTCGGTTGTTGTTGAGGTACCGTAGTTTCGTGAGTCATGCCGTTTCAGGGGACAGGGACAAGCATGCATGCACACCAACGTCCACAACAATGTCCAGAAGAATGATCTCGGGGGATACACTTGGCAAGCACCCCTTTTGCCCTCTGCCATTTCTATAAGTGTTGTGTATTCAAACCCGTGACTTTCGTAGCACGAGATTCGTTGACCGCACTACGCACTTCGTTCAAGAAGACAGATCTTGGGCGCTACAGGTCACAAAGCAAACATTCACAAGCACGCGTGGCAGGTGTACATTACGTCTCCTGCGTGTTATGATGTGTGTTTACTTTTTTTTGGAATGTGTGCACACCTATGTAGCACGTTCTTGTATCATCTATCGGAGACTGGGGACTGGGAAGCTACGTACCCTTCAGTCCCTTTCGCGCACCCCCTATTTTGTCGAATGACCCCGCGATGTTTTATCAACGTCTCTGTGCAGCGTCGTGTGCCCCACTTTCGTACGCGGCGACTCATCACCTGACAAGCCTGTTGTTTCTGGCGGCCCGAATAATTGGAACACCCGTTCACGGCCGAACAGGTGGCCGTGACGGTGTACACCGAGCGCGACGTGCGCCGTGAGGTGGAAGCGGTGAAGGCGGGTCTCGAGCACGAGAGCGACTGGCAGAGGTGGGTCTCCGCCATGCGGAGACTCGCGGGCGTCGCTCTCGGTGGGGGGGGTTCGGACTTCCCCGCGCTCCTGGTGGGGCTCGTTCGCGCCAGCGTGCACGAGATGGTCGGGCACAAGGTGCGTGTGTGTATGAGAGAGAGAGAGAGAGAGAGAGAGAGAGAGAGAGAGAGAGAGAGAGAGAGAGGGATGGTGGGGGTGGAGTGTCACTGGTGAGCCGTTCGTGGTAGGGGGAGAACACCGCTGCGCCCCACACCCTCCCTTTTGGAGGCAAACGCCGCGTTGACTCTTGTCAATGTTGTCGCTGTGTCGCTGTGTATATTCTCTTCTGAAGAGTGTCTTGAGGAGTGAAACGGACTTGCAGGGTGGGGTGGTTTCGATGCAACGAACACCCTCTGATGCTGTCCATCGCAGGGGGCACGTGGGCGCGTGCGTGGACAAGGCGACGCTTGCTCTTTCGATGCCATCCAAGAAGGTCACTGCCAGGCAAGGAGCATGATTTTTTTCTCACGCACGAGTCTGTGCAACAATACTATGTGTTACGCGTTGCGCGCGCGGATACAGGTGTCGGAGAACCGCAGCGCCGTCGCCCGCGAGGCGTGCCGCTGCGTCGCCGTCCTCGCCAGGTGCCTGACGGACCACTTCGGGGCCCTGGCCGAGCTGTGGCTGCCGGAGCTGCTCCGGAACACGACCCGCGCTGTCGTCGTCGCCGCCGCGGGGGACGAGGCCGCGCGCGCCATCTTCGGGTACGCGTACGTGGGATTTTTCTCCCTTTTTTTTTTTAGTATTTGTTATTTTTTTTTTAAGAAATGTGAAGTATATGTCAAACCGATTCGACGCCTCGTTGATGCAACATTCAACCCGGTATACGTTATCCCCGTCATCGGGATTGCCTTCGCCCTATATTCATGACCCCATGCTAAGTGTGTCGGTCGAGTCTAAATTGTGGCTGATGACAGCTCTTGTCGGTGAGCGAGCGCTTCGCCAACCTTTGCATGCGGGGAGAGGTCTGGCGACACACCGATATTCGGCGTGTCTGATGACTATCTTGCCGTCGTTGCTGCCGAGATTATGCCGCGCTACCTCCTGAAAATGGACGATTACGATTCGGATCGAAATGGCAGGTGCACGGAGGACGGGTTCCCGCGCCTCCTGCCGTATCTGGTCGACACTGCGAAGAACAAGAGCGCCGCGATACGCCGGCGGTGCCTCGACTACGCCATGCTCGCGCTCGCTCGTTGGAGCGACGCGGCCTTCGATCGATGCGCCGTCCAGCTGAGGTGTGGTTGTTTGTTTGTCGCTGTCTCGCCTCGCTTTCCACCGCTGTTGGTGTTCGCTACAGCAGTAGTACTGCTGTTCGTTCGCTCCGCCGCTTGTTTCTTCGACTGGCTTCGTTTTCCGAAGCGTTAGAGGATGCTCTACAAAGGGCAAGGTGCCGCAAGGTGCGAGTCATCGCACACACCCTGCCTACACCAACGGTCAAACGCTTGATTGCTCCGAGATCAAGGAGGTGCCAATGATGATGCCGAAAATGGAGGCGGTCATAGTTAGAAAAACCTTGTCGATAGATTTCCTTGCACTTATCGGTTGGCCGTTTTTTTTGCGCATAGTCTTGGTTGTGCGAGAGCCTTGGGAGTCCGTCCACGGCGCTTGCGATAACTCGCATTTGTACTCTCTGTACCTCCCGATCGTGCACAATTGTAGGATGTTGACCCACACCTTTTCTTCAAAACTCCTCCTGAGCTTTGACCACGTCCGCATTGGTGTTTCCCATTCCCCCCTAGAGATCCCCCGCAACGGCACGCATTGCTTGTTGCAAGAGTGTGTTAACAACGATGTGCCTGGGACGGCCATTGTTGTCCCCCCTTCTGTTCGCAGGGATATGGTGGCGGCGGCTGTAGCAGACGCGGACAGCTCGGTGAGAGCGACGGCGCGCCGTGCCTACTGGGTCCTGAACCTCCGTTTCCCGGACTTGGCGCAGTCGGTCATGGGCTCGCTGGCTCCTTCCATGCAGGCAAGTCGCACACGTATCTCGATTGGCTCCCTCCCCGATTTTTGTCGATTTTTTTACATTCGGAAATATGGTCGGCGAAGAAGAGCAATGGTGATATCCACGTCCAATTCACGTTACAAGAGAGGGGATTGGGTGCGGGGGTGCTGCTCTTGAAGCCGAGCGGCGCCTAGCGTAACCCACCGCTTAGCGTGAACGTTGTACCACATTCCCTTCTACAGTAGAGAAAACAGTCTACACCCCATGCTCGTGCTCGCTCAAACATCGCGCGCTTATTGGCTAACCTTTGGTTTTTGCAGAGGCATGTTCTTCGCGAAGACCAAGAGTTCGACGCGGAAGCTTTTGTTCGTGCAGCCAACGCCGCCGCCGAGGACCCGCAGGTGACCCTCCAACGCCCTAAATAGAGCTAACTCTCTTGGTCCATGAAGTGCTCATGTGTACGCGTGTCGGAATTTCCAGGGCAAGAGGCTGTTACAGAGCAAGAAGAGGTTTCTTCGTTTCTTGGCTGTTTTCGGTACGAGCAAGAATAAGCAGTCGTGAAACAAGAAGACACGTAGCAGCGTTCCATGCTGTGCTTGGAAGTGTACTTTGCTCTTTCGATTGGTGGTCGGTTTCATCTGTCGCGTTTTGCTAACGCATGGTAAGGTCATCATCACCTGTATTGTGGTGTATGGCATTGTCATCGCTGTTGCAGTCCCTGCTGGTGCACCCGCCCGATCTCTCACGTCGCGGTGCCTGCGACCACATGCGCCCCAAGCAAGTGTGTCTTTCGTTCTCGCTCCGTCATGATCGTGGTTCGCTCTCTCCCCCCCCCATTTTTTCGCCCTCCAAAAAAAGCCCGCTCTTGGGGAACACCCGGAAGATCTTGACGGGTACAACAACAACGACGGCAACAGCGGTATCACCGCCGGCGGCGGCGCAACCACACCCGGTGCCACCGACGTCTCCGCCAGCCGGATGAGCAGCAGCAGCAGCAGCAGCAACCTCCAAGCATCATCCTCGGCGGCGGCGGCAGCGGCGGTAGCTCGCCGCGTGCACGGGACGCACCACGGCGGTCCCCCCTCCACCAGCAGCGGCGCCCATCAGTTCGCCCAGAGACGGCCGGCCAGTGCCGCCTTCGACGGCGAGGGTGGGCTGGCGACGGCGGCGGGAGGTGCGGCGAGGTCGTCGTCCGCAAGGGTGAAGGTCGATCGCGGTGCTGCTGCCGATAGCGGCGGTGGTGGTAGCGGTAGGGTTTTGCGTCCGGGAGGCGGAGCGCCGGCGAGGAGAACCCGGCCCCCTGGGCGAGCGCCGGCCGCGCACGACGGCACGATGGATGTCGCCGACAACGGCAACGCGTTTTCTTTCGGCGCGGGTAGCGCCTTCGACGCTGTGGGCGGCGGCGGTGGTGGTGGGGATGGCAGCAAGAACAGGAGCGCTTCGTCGGCATTACGCGTCGCAGGCGGCGGCGGCGGCGGCGGGAGTGAGGGAGAGGTTGCCGCGACGATGATGCCGGCAACGGCGAAGTCTGGAGCTTTCCGCGTGCCCCGTGGCGGTGTGAGTGAAACGGTGACTCGCGTACCTGCTGCAGCAAGTGGCGATGCCCTTCACCAACGCTTCCCCGCAGCTCGGGTCGTGGCGAGAAGGTCGTCGGTGGTTCCGGCGGCGGGGGGCGAAGGGGAACCCCAAAGCTTTGACGCCCCCGGCGCGCTCGGTGGTGTGTCCAAGGGCGAGCGGGGGGTGCAGCCAGCCAGGGTTGTCGGGCGGCAGCAGCAGCAGCGGTTGGATGCGAGTGCGGTGGGGAGACGGGAAGAGGAGGCCGGGGAGAGCAGAGCGGACCGGGGGGGAGCGATGAGGGCCGTGGTCGCTGCGCCGGTTGTTCTCGACCGTCGGCACGTGTTGCGCCAGGTGAAAAGGCAGAGGACGCAAGACCCGAATATTTTTACAACCTAAGGAATGATGTAGATCAATCCTTTTTCCCATCGTGTGACGTGAGGCGCGCTGGTGTACGGTGTATGCAAACCCGGCTCTCTGTTGTTGTGCAAGCGGGGCAGCTTCTCTCGCTGCCACCTCTGATTCTATGAAGACCCAGTAGCCCCTTTGAAACTTAAAACGCTGTTCCTTTCTGAGGCGGCCAGTCCATTTCGTGCTGAGCTCTCCCCGTTTCCCCTAACGCACCCTCCGGTTTTCCGACTCCGTTTTTAGATGGACGACCTTGCAGACCAAGCCGGCGCGTCCCACTGGGGCACACGAACAGAGGCTCTAGAGAGCATGCAGAACCTCCTAACCGTGGAAGGCGGCGGAGGCGGCAGCAGCGGTAGCGACTCTGGTGAGAGGGGCGAGGGCGGGAAGTTCGTGCTGGAGTCGAGGCCGGCGTCCAGACGGGTGGAGACCGTGATCGCGGAGCGCACGCGGGACGTCAACTTCAGGGTCGTGGCCGCGGCGCTCAAGCTCTTCGGCGGCCTCGTGGAAGCGCACGCGGCCCTCATGGCCGGCCACACGTCGACCCTCCTGCCGTCGGTGAGGGAAGAGTTCTGTTTAGATTGGTCACACGTGGGGGAGCCTACTATTGCTGCTGTTGGTAGTCGTCCGTACAATCGGTTCGTGACAAGGTTGAGGCGGCAGCAGGTGGAAATATCGGCAGAAGATTTCTGGGCGGGGTGCGTGTTTGGATAGGCCGAGTTTTCCTGCTGTTGCTGCGGCTGACGCCTGCAGTTTCGTTCCAGTAGGAGGCTTTCGGTTGGCACCAAATTTGTTTCTCGTCTCATAGTTTTGAGCCGTGGCTCACGGATTATACGTGTTTGGTGCCGCTTACTGCTGAACTCAAGTTATTACACACGGGGATGGTATTGCTTAAGGGCAAGGTTTCGACAACTAGGAGCATTTGCCAGCTTCCTCCCTCCCCCCCCCCCCCTCTCTCTCTATCTCTCTCTCTCTGACTCCCACCTCCCTCCGGGTTGGCGTTCATGACCAACACCGCCCGTGTTTCTGTCTTATTTTTCTTTCGTGGGCGTGGTTAATAACACAGGTGTTCCCAACCTTGGCCGACCCGAAGGAGCCGGTGCGCCAGGCGGCAAACGAGGCGCTGAACGCCTGCCGGGCGGCGTACAACCCCAACCAGCTCTGCTCCTCGCTGTGCCCCCGCGTCCTCGAGCTCCCGGCCGGCCGCGCGCGGACCGGCCTCCTCGAGTTCCTGGCCGTTCTCGTGCCTCACTCGGCGGTGTTTTTCCTCGACGGGCACCACTCGTCTGGGGGCGGAGCCGGAGGCGGGGGACACATGCAGTCTCTCACGCAGCGGGTCGCGTCCGCTCTCGCGCAGACTCCGCCCCCGTCGAACTGGGACGGGTCTCTCGGGGAGGACGGGCCTACGTCCGCCGGCCCCGCGGCCTCCGCCGCGATCCGGCTCCTGACGGCGCTGTCTCGCCTGGACAGGGAAGCCCTGGCGACGGCGTCGGCGGCGCTGCCGCCTGAGCCGGCCGCGGCGGTGCGGCGGGCGCTGTCGTTCCTCCGCCCCAAGTCTCCGTCTCCGCCGAGGAGAACGGAAGCTGCTGCTCTGTCTCCGATAAGTGCCGGCGAGAGTGCCGTTGCCGGCGGGGGCTCCGCAGAGGCGGATGGAAGACGTTCCCCGACCACCGTTTCGGATGGGGATGGGGAGGAAAATGGGGTTGCGGCTGTTGTGACGCCTGCGGTGGGCGGTGTGCGGGGCGTCGGGGGAAAGCCTGGCGACGGGAATGAGGGGTCGTCGTCGTCGTCGCCGCCGCCGACGCCGACGCTCGAAACGCCGCGACCTCCGGTGGTAGCGGCAGCGAGTCCGCCGGGGGAGGGAGGGTTCGCACTTTCTTCGAATCCCGGCAGCGCGTTCTTGTGTGAGGAAAGAAGTGGCCGGCGTGGACGGCTAGAAGCGGAGTCGGCCTTGTTCACACCACCGGAGCAGCGGCAGCAGCGGAACCCGCATCGTCAGCCACTGGCGCCGGTTACCCCGCGGGACTCGAACCGCCAGCCTGCTGGCGAGCAGCACGTGGGCTTGGTTTCCGGAGGGAGTGGCAAGAATATGCGGCTGGCGGGATTTCCGACTCCGAAGAAGAGTCTTGTTCTTGCTGCGGCGGCTCCCGCTTCCGCCACAAGGTCGTCGGCAGTGCCGGTGGCGGCGAGTCAGGACCAAAAGGCGGCGGCGGAGGCGGTGATGGTGGGCGGGGGGCTAATCGCGGGGCTGTCGCGCGGAGCGCGCTCGCATCGGAAGATCGAAGCGCTGTCCTCCCTCCGAGGGTTGGCAGACGGGGAAGGCGCCGGGGGGCGCCCGGACTTCTGGCCGCGGTACTTCGGTCAGGTGCTCATGCTCCTGTTGGAGGGAGCGGCGGTGTCGCCACCGGTGGCGGCGGCGGCGGCGGCAGGGGAGGAGGGCACACGGAGAGGAGGCGGCAACGGCGGTGGACAAGGCGGAGTCTACTCGACCCCGTCGTCAAGGCGGCGGTCGCTGCTTCGGGCGAAGCACCTACAGGGGGTGCGGTGCCTTGTCGCGCGGCGTGGGGAAATGTTCCCGGGGTCGACGGAGATGGTGGTGGGCAGGCTCGTTGAGATCGGCGGCGGCGGCGGCGGCGGGGGGGACCCTAGCGTTGCCGTCCGGTGCGAGGCAGAGGCATGCCTGGCCGACCTCGTCGGCGTCCTAGACCCCGCCCGCTACCTCGCCGTGTTGACCCCGCTCCTCGCCCTCCTCCCTGCCGCCGCCGCCGCCGGTGGTGGTTGTGGAAACCTGGGCGGCGACGGCGGCGAGCCGAAGGAAGGTCTCGCGGGGGGTGCGCGGGGCGTGCTGGCGCAGTGCGTCGCGCTCGGGGCGCTGCGCGCCCTGACGCCGCGGCTGTCGTCGCCGGGGCTCCTGGGCGCGCTGGGCGCGGGCCCCCTGCTGGCGGGGCTGGAGGCGGCTCTCGGCGGTGGGGACCTCGAGGCGCGCAAGCGGGCGGTGTTGGCCTTGGTGGAGATGTACCAGGTGTGTATACGTCTATACGTGTAGGAGATAAGAAAAATTCGTGTGCTCGGGGTGTACCGTGGCGAGGCGGGGGGGATGTTGTTGCGCAACACATTTTAGAGCGCATGAGTGCTGTTCTGCTTTCTTTTTTATGTTGTGTTACAGGTTGTAGCGGATGTTTTTTTCTGCGAATACTGAAAGCACGAGAATGTGTACTCGCTGCAGTGTTTTGTTTTGCTGTTTTTGCCTCTTGTCCTCACCTCAAATGCATCCATCGCGGCAGTGTGCTTTTTCCCTCCTATGGTTTTCCGGTAGAAGTAGGGACCTAAGCCTGTCCCCCCCCCCCGCGCCGCTGCCAGGGTCAGAGAGAGGAATGATCCTGCTAAAACATTATTTCCTCGTCCTGTATTGCAACCACGTGTACCTGACCTTGTTGTTGTTGTTGACCCTTCGCTTCTGACTTTCAATGCGCACTTTTCGCCAGGTGCTGGAAGAGGCCCTGCTACCGTTCCTGGCCAACTTTCCCACCAACCGTCTCAAGCTCATCACGATGTACATCGAGCAGCGCAGGGCGAGGGATAAACTCGCCGCTGCCGCCGCCGCCGCCGCCGGTACAGGGTCTGCTAGCACGCCTGGGTTTGCGACGGTGAAGTCAGCGGGTGCGAGCGGGGCTGTTGCCGCGACGACAGCGACTAGATTTACGCCGATACGGTAGAAGGTATTAGCACAGTCGGCAGGGGAGCGTTTCAGTTCTATTACCTCGTGTGCCTCTGGTGGATGGCGGTCTTTCTTTCCGACCGTGTTTGGTCGATGAAAGCGTCTTGGGCTTCGACCCGTCGTTGGATCGTTTTAACCTTTCCCGTGGATTGTCTAGATTGGGTCGTCGTATGTCCCTGCAGTTTGGAGGCGGCTGGCATTGCCTGGTGGCTCTCGCGGCATGCGGCACGTTATGTGCCTGTTCGTATCGCGTTTCTTCTCCCCCGTCTTTTATTTGTTTTTTACGGGTGCGTTTGAGAGGAGACTACAAGGTCAACATGTTCCTCAGGTGCTGCCACACGGAATCTTTTCTAAAGCGTTTCAGGTAATCGGATTTGCCTTCGCGTGCGTTTTTTCGTTTTTTACGAGTTTTTTCGGAGGGCACGTTTTTCGGGCGAAAGCTGCACACCTGCCTGTGCCTGTGACCGTGATTTTTAGTCGGTGTTCCTTGCGTGGCTCGCGTGGAGACTTCGACTACTGTAGGCAATGTACGTCTGTGTGTGCTCTCTACTGGAATTAAGTTGCCCAAGGCGTGAACAGAACCGAAGTTATGTGTAGGGGGAGGAGGCTACCATGACTAGGGATCGGGCTCACTATGTGTGTGCGCTACGTCTTCGGGGAGGAGGGGGGGTGTCGGGTTTGTTTCCGCTGGGGCTGATAATAATGTTTTATCGCCGCTTCCTGGGAACAACGCGTTCGTTTCTTTCTAACAGAAAAGTTGCCGTGAAAAATCTTGCAATGGGTGCTTTGTATTGTGAAACCCGGCACCATCATGACAACGTACAGCACTGGCTGGCTGGGGGTAATCACGTCCCCGAGTCTAGGGCTACACACCCAAATGTACTTTGATCGCGTTCGTGGATGAGCAGTGTACGCGCACGAACGAAGTGTGTGCTGCCCGGGGGCACTCTCATTGCCATGCGCGGTAAAGTTAGGCGCCTCTACGCTTGCGGAGGGTCAGTGCAACAACCAAAGACACCTACAAGTACGTCAATCGAACGAAACACACTACTTTTAGTCTCCGCGCCCGCTTCCGTACAAAATGCCAAGTAGTTTCAGCCATTCGTTCATCATTCGTGGACACTAGACAAGCCTCTCAACGTCTTGGAATGCAGCATCGAAGAGTACGACAAGAGATCAAGAGATCGAGCATCAATCCCCAGACCAGTACAACCCGCCCCGTCCCTTGCTTGCTGCTCGTGCCAACATCTCTTTGCACGGTGATAAGGAACCCTCGCCTCTTCGACTCGACCGATTCCATCCTTCGAACATCAGCGCCCCGTCCCCTTTTCCCTCACGTACTGCTGTGTGCAGCGATCGGCGGGCAAGGCGGGGAGGTCTATTCTAGGCTCCAATCCCTCTGGCTGGCCATATTTACTTGAGGTTCTCCTGCCCTACAACCATCGAACCGGGCCTATATCCCATGCAAAAGAAACAGACCCCCCTACCGGAATGGACCCCCGGCATGAACAAGCAACAGCGTTTGAGGTACACCGAAGGTACCACGCCAAAAAAATATAGTTGCAGGGGGAAAAAAGCGGCGCACAACAACACCAGAGCGCACGCGTCGTCCAAAAAAACACTCGCGAAAGCTTGCCGTACCCCAGCAGCAGCACCACCCCGGCCTCCGCCGCGGTGACCTGCTTGCTGCTGAGACTGCCGCCACTGGTATTGCCGCCGATCGTCGCCCGCAGCAGCTTCCAGTCTCCGGAGATGTCTTGCTCTTCCGTCCCTGGAGACGTGGTAGATCGCCTCCTATATTTGTCCTCCTCCTAAGAAAAGGTGCGGACGACGACGACGTCAAACCCACCACGACCACCGCAGTAGTAGCGGCGGAACCTGTGATGTGTTTGATGACTTAAAATCCGTGCAGCACCACCTGCTCGCGTGAGAGAGTAACGGCAGAGACAGAAACTGCCGTCAAATACATGCGAGTACCGGCAGGTGCCGGTGCTTGTGGTGGCAAGAAAATAATCGCCGAATTCTAAGGAAGAGCGGGAGAGGTTTGCAGCCGAACCTGTCGAAAGAGGCCCCAACATGCAACGATCCCACTCTCCAGAAGGAGCCGCCGAAAAAAGAAAACGGAAATGACTATAAAAAAAAACGCCGAGAACGACGCAATGTGTGCGTAGCCAAAGAAAAGAATCAAGATTCATGATCGAAGTTCACGAATCACCGGAAAATGAGGGAGATACTGGAATAGAAGGGATGACACTACAACCTACAACTATGCTGCTGTGGGAGTCCTTGCGGAACGCCACCGACCGTCTTTTGAGGTGAATTTTGTCAAGACGACGACAGATTGACGTGTGTTCAACACCCCGGCCTTGCCCGCCCCGCCCCCACAGATCCGTCGGGCGGTCTCTCGTGCAAACCTTCCAACTTGTGCCCGCTTTGTATACATCTCCGTACATACCTGACTTGCAACACATATCTGCTGGTCAACAAGGAACTCGTGGATGTTTGTCCGTTGGTCTCCCGACATTTGCACGATCTCGCCGCCCTCCGTATCGCTCACGATCGCGCCGTTACAGCTGAAGGGGGGGCACACAGGCCAAAAAGACAACGACACAGACGGGAAAGAGTGGTGGTGGGGGATCGATCTACACGAAGCCAAGCACGATGCACTTAACCAGGACGGGCAGAGTGCGAGTGTCAAAGAGCAAACCCTCTTCTTAGCCTCGGAAAATTCTAACGTGAAAAAGGCTGCATCACAGTTGAAAGCTCTTGCCGCGTCGCACACTAGCGGAGAGACAGGTGCTGCAATTGCGTTGCACACGTGAGAGACCGAGGGGACAAGAGCAGATTGCTGTTTTCGGGCTCGCCGCATGTGTGCAAGGCTGCTGTATGCAGGTCTGTAATTCTTCTTGGTTTGTTGAGGTTTCGCTGGGCTCTCTGAGTCAAAAGCACGTCAGCTGTGTGAGCTGTTCGAGCCTGAGAAAGGTCGCTGATGGCCGCTGGCAGCTGGTTTCACGTTTCACACCAATACATTCATGCTTAACTTTCGCCTTGCATCACGACTACTAAAAATACTGCTCTGATGAGCCCACTCCGGAGGCGCACCTTGCACATGCATACATAACCGTGTCGTCACCTGAAGTTCTTTTTAAAGGCCTTGAGGATGCGCTTCAGGTCGAGGTCGTCCGCCAGCCCCTGCACCGTCGTGATACACTTGCGCCCGCTGCGCTGCTGCACCCGGACATGGACCTTGGTTTGGTCGCGGCGCTCCTCCTGCGAGTCGGCGAAGGGATCTGTACGAGAAGACCAAACCCGAACACCCCAAGACCAGCGGTCACCACGGCAAGGGGAGGGGAGAAGAGAGAGGAGGGGGAAGGGGTTAATGTCGGTTATTGGCAGAGAGAGACAGCGACGGAGCGACGAGATGGAGCCGTGAGATCAGGCTTGGGTGCCAAATTGAAGAAGACCGCAGCATGCGTCTACCCGTGGGCTATGCACGGAGTTAGCGGTGGTAGATTTCTTCACGCGATTCAGGGCTCGAAAACGCGGGCCTTGCCCTGATGTTAGGACGCGTCGCTCGTGCTGAATGCCACAGCGAAACCGTTGCCGTCAGCACCACACTCAACTACAAACCGCACTACCTCTGTGCTAAAATAAACTTGCTACAGCAGTAGCGCCCCAGCCTTCCAAGGATAGTCAGCGGCTGGCTTAGGGTAGCACAGCGCACAGAGGTAAGAGCGTGTGCTTGACGGGCGCGAGTTCGGGGTTCTTTTATGTTGCCGCTGTTGTTGTCGCTAAATAGGCAGATCACGCCGCCTCCACGCAACACACAGCTGCTGCCAGCTGTTCCCCTTCGGTACGGTCTCCACGCGGACCGTTCCACACAACAGGTCCTGTTGACTTGACTTCGCGTGCTGGCGGTATTTCACGTTTTACGATAGTCGCGAAGCTTTTATATGGGATGTCTTTGGTCGTCTGAATCGCAACCGTTTTTCTTTACTTGTGCACGGCGGCGGGCTGCCCTACGTCTGTTGGTGTGTTCCTGCCCTTGTTATTTGACATCGGACTTGAACGCTTTACTGGCCGTATGGATACATGCAGGTGTTGTTCGAGGCAAGTCGCGAAATACAGCGAGCGTGGCGAGCGACCGGGCCTCTAGTACCAGGAGGCCACGGTTCCATCACCCGTCAAAATTTGAACGGGTACTACACAGACCCAGCCCTTCCGGAATCCGAGAGGCTAACAGGGGGTTGGTTGTTGTTGCGGCAACTGCAACACGATACTGCAGACTGCTGCTGCTGCTGATGGCCCGCTGCTGATGTCGGCATCACATCTCTGGCAGGTTGTTGAGTCTTGATCGCGAGACGGCGTAAACAAAAACAAACTTGACTCACCAAACGATGAGAGGTTCTGGATGTCGCCCATGACAAAAGAGGGAGCAGAGCCTAGCCCTTTCCCGTTGGCAACTGAACGACTCCGGTGTGTTTTGGTGAAGTGGTGCCAGGCACAGGCAGCTGCTGTGCGAGGGAGGGAGGGGGCTCCGCTGAATGCATAGCATAAACCCACGGGCCCCCGGGAGTTGCATCATGGAAATGCCTTGTGCACGGGCGCCCGCAAGGCGGGTGCGCCAATCTTGTTCCGGCATGCGCTGGACTGACGCTGCCCGTTTGGTCGCGGCGTTGACGCTGAACACTTGGGCGATATCGTTTGCTCTTCTCCGCGTTAGTTCGACGACGAGTGTGTCCATGTCTCTGCACGGCGAGGTACGATGCGCTGCATAACAACAAGTGTTGAATTCGCAGGTAAACAATCTATTCGTTCGCTCCGGCAATCACTCCACTCCGTGTTGGTGCGTCTCTTATCCATTGAACCCGTCTTTTGGGCAGCGAGGCGGGAAACGCGCATAGTTACGACTAAACACGAACAGAGGGGAGGAACTTTTGAAAGCCTCTCGTGTTAGTAATTGAAGGCAAGCACGACAGGGGGGAAAGTGGAGAAACTCATGCACATGCTTCACTCAGGGTAACAGCAGTACATTCTACAATTCCAAAAAAACGAGACGAATCACCGTACACAACCCAATATAATAGTCTGTTTGCACCTGCAAGCGTAGGCTAGTATAATCAATACCGGATCGTCCTTGCCACTATTACGCGTGATCCAATCAACGCTGACCGCGTGAAGCCGACCACGCGAAGTCGGCGTTCATATGAACAACACTACAGTAATGACGCAACGAACCTTCGGGTGCATCATCCATCTCCCTCCACACGACCCCCCACATTGAAAGCAGCTTTTCGTGTACTCGCCCAAGAAACGCCTGGCCGCCTTTCGGAGCGGCGGCCATGGCGGCAGCAGCAGCAGCAGCAGCAGCAGCAGCAGCAGCAGCAGCAGCAGCAGCGACAGACAATCACAACAACAGCAACGCAACCGGAGGCATGCCGTTTTTGTACCGGGCCTAACGGACGGCCTCCTCGCCCTCGACTACGTCCCTGAGCTCGCCGCCGCCCTCGACCGCCTCGGCTTCTCCTTCGTGCAGCCGGTCCTCTCCTCGTCCTACCAAGGTGCCTCACGACATAAGTGCCGCCGCGCTGTAGCCAGCTGGTGCACGTCTGACTCACCGACGGCCCGTGATGAAAACGTCTTTTCTTGGTTTTTCTCTCTGACAATGACGAGTGACGGGAAGTCTTGAGGTCCAGTGGGGGGCCCACTTAATTCAAGCTACGGTGAGCGAGAGAGCACTTCTGAACCTCTTGGGGGTTCGCCGCCGTACCGCCAACATGATGCCGCCGGCCTCACGAAACGAAGAACGCCTCTGTTGCCTCGAGTTGAAGCAGTCTTACCGCCGGTCCGAGTTGAATACGGCGTGGATTGGCATTTGGGTTCGGACACAAAAAAATTAGTAAGCCAACGACTTCCGCTACGTACTCTTCATTTCACGGCATTGGGCCGCCACAGGTCTACGACAACCCCGCGCAATTACCCTGACCCCCCCCATCCCTTCCGTTGGCTCCTACTGTACTCGGGATGGGAGAGATCAGGATACGGAACAAGCAGCCTGCGCCAGGACGTCGAGGAACTGGACGAACTCTTAGACTACCTTTCGTCGACGTCATCTCCGCCCGCACCAGAAGAGTGAGCGGGGGGGTACGGTGCAGTCGTTGAGGTTCAAAAGTCGTCACCCCATTCAATGATGTCTGTGCTTGATGGTTTATCGTCGCGGCCGTTCTTTGCTTGGGGTTGCGTTCCGATATCGCGTTGCGTCTATTCGCTTCTTCACCGCATGCCAACCACAAGAACGACGCAAACTCCGTCCGCAGAAACAGTTATCTACAAGCCCCGCTTTACGCCCACGGACAAAGAGACGTCGACTTTGGGGCTCGAGTTTACGGTTTCGCTTAGTTCGTGGCAACCGTTGAATACACGTCGTGGCGATCAACGGTTGTAGCATGTGTTGCAGGGCGCACCGCCGAACTGTGTTTCTTTGAGCCAGTATTTATTGATTGTCGTGGACGTTCAAGATCCATGAATATTTCGTGCTTCTCCTTGGTGCGGGGCACTGACAGTGTCTATCGCGTTGTCCCCGATAGACGGACGCCACAGCATGCGTACAGCAGAAGCGTGTAGAGCATTATACACCCACATACGACGATGCGGACGATAGTCCTTGCGGTTTTTTATCCCCCCACGCCTCTTCTTGTATGTCTTCCCTCCCTCTCCCGTCACATCCGATCCTTTCACCCCCTCCCTCGCGCCCCCGCGCCAGCAGCGATGCCGGCAGCAGCAGTAGCAGCAGCGGCAGCAGCTTCCTTTTGATAGGCCACTCCACCGGCTGCCAGGACGCGGTTTTCTACATGAAGCACGGGAGGTCGGACCTCCGTGCGGCCGTGGTCGGCGTCGTACTGCAGGCGCCGGTTAGCGACCGCGAGTACCTCGAGACCCTGCCCTCCACGGAGGGGTTCATTGAGGAGGCCAGGGTCAGGGGGGGAGGCGGGGAGCTGATGCCCGTGGCGGCGGACCAGGCCCCGATAACGGCGGCCAGATTTATTTCCCTCGCAACCAAGGTGAATTCTGTTGCAACCAAGGAGTGTGCTGTTGTTACGCGAGCCGTATGTGTTGCGACGAGGGGTAGCGGCCGGGGGTGTGGTGCTGTCTTTTAGCAAGTCCTAGGACCACCTCGAAGGGGAGGAGGGGGGGTATTGTGAGAGCGTCCTTCTGAACGCTGGCGTCCGTGAGAAAAAAACACTCTTTGGATGTCATCCCCCTCCTTCAATTGTGACGCGGCACCATTGCGACGCGGCACTCCGGACGGGACAAGGGTAAGTTAGTGATGGACATGAATGCCTGTCTGGATGGCTGGGTTGACTCGCCTGCTCTCGGGCGAGATGTCAACCAAGCAAATTGGTGGCTCTCGAAAAGGAAACTTGATCTCTGTAGGCACACGGCAACTGCCACCTAAATACACCCCGCGGCATCGTGACCCTGAAATAGCGACCCCACCTCCACCTGAAACCAACTGCAGGCACCACAACAAGCATAAGCAGCGTGCAACAAATTGTCTATTACCGGTATTCCGTAATCCCTTCTTTGTACTTGAGCCTCCAAATAGTCCCGCGCCTGGCTTGACCTTTTCGCGTGACCGACCCACCCACCCACACCCAAACGCCAACACCAGGAAGGAGACGACGACATGTTCAGCGCCGACCTCACCGCGGACGAGAGGCACGGTCGGCTGGGGCACATGGCCTCGGTGCCCACCGCGGCGTTCCTCTCGGGGGCCGACCAGTTCGTTCCCCAGGGGGGCGGCAGGTCTCCCCCCGAAGTGCTGGCGGAGACGCTTCGGGCTGCGATGGTCTCCTCGTCGCCGTCGTCGCCGCCGCCGTCCTCCCCGCTGGGGACTGCTTGCTCTGCGGCCAGGTCAGAATACTACACGACACATGTGTTTTCTTGTTTCTCGGCTGCGTGTTTTTCGTTTGTGTGCCCGGTTTTCTAGGCGAGGTTTTTCTCGCTGGCGAGTAGAGCGGGAGCGGGTGTAGGAGCCAGGAATGATAGCGTGTGCCGAATTTTTTTCGCTGCCGAAGCAGGTGACCTGTGTGTATACGGTAGGCTATGCATACTAGAAGTAGTTCCGTAATCACGTTTTGAGCGCATCCCTCTTATGAACACCCCCCCACGGTCATTGCACAACAATTGGTTTGTTTCCGAACAGCAGCGGAAGGGCAGAACCAGGAGATGGAACACGGGGGGGCGCAAGTACTACAACATCGACGCCGGCGGCGAAGAAGACTGTGGTGTTCGTCATCGACGAGGCCGACCATAGCCTTAGCTCGCCGGCTCACGCGCAAGAGTTCATCTCGAAAGTGGAGGTCTTCGCCGCGGGCCTAGGATGAACCAGAGTCACAGAGTTACTGCTTGAGACACAAAGAAGGGTGGAAAGTGAACACTTCGGGAACCACTGAAATTGAAGCTCAGTATGGAATGCACGTCGAAACAAAAATTAAACTTTTTCACAAATAGCACAACATCAACCATTCGCCTCTAACTTTAATATTGACCATAACAAATAACCAAACAACACCAACAATATGTATTTGCGAGATTCCAACACCGGTACGTACAATAGCCAGTGCGTACTCGAGTACGACGTCACCAACCAGTGAAATCAATATGAGCCTAGCTTTGTTCGTTTTTAGAGTAGACTCCTTCCACAAAGCCGGCAAATTTGGCAAAGTGCAAAGAATATGTGAGAAAAAATAGGCGGTTGAACCCTGCGATCACTCGCCGCCGCGCAACGCACTCGACTTGGAGCCGCCGCACTGCTCGAAGCTACTGACGTTAAACGTCAGCATTTCATTTACTTGGTCCGCCGTGTTGTTCCAGCTCACATCAAGGCTGTAGCGTTCCATGCCGGGGGGTTTTACACCGTATACCTGCAACGATGAGAACGAGCAGCGTGAGGCCGACGATCAAACATGGGGGGGGCGGTTTCAAGGACGGTGACACCGTTGCTTTTTAACGGCGAGATGCTGTGTTCGCGAACTAAACCGGCTCGTGGTGCTGGAGATGCTCACAGACCAGACGCATTGTGACGTTGTGACAAGCCAGAATCACCAGCGAACGGACCATAGAGCATCGGGTTGACGTAAGGCTCACTGATCCCTACCCCTCCATGCAAGGAAGGACCCATCCAACGAACGTGAGCAGAAAAAGAGCAAACGAGAAAATGCAACGGAAAAAAAAGATATGAGCTTGGAATTCCATGGGAACATGTACAAGGCTCGGCACAACCGTAACTAAGCGTTTCCTCACGCAGTGCCTACACCTTGTCGCTTTACTTTTGGACCCGTGATACCTGGAGTGGACCGGACCGTATCCTGACGATCTACATGTTGACACTCGACAAGCCCACCTTCTCAACGGGTCAGATTTGAACAAGACTCACCTTCACCGCTTGCAACTCGTCGTCAAGGTCATTCAGCGACGCATCGGGCGACCCGCGGGTGTAAAACTCCAGCGACCCTGCGCATGGCCTGGGGAAGTACAACCTTGACGCCGAGGAGTGGTGCGCAAGGAGCAGCGACAACGAGGACCTCGCCGTCACCAGGCCACCGCCAACGCACATCATCGACAAGAAGTCCTCCTCCATCGTCCGGTCCTGGGGTGTTCGGGGCAAGGACGGATGGAGCGGCGTGTGCACCGAAAGACATGCTCGTGAGAGTGAACGCCTTCGACGACAGGCGTTTTTTTCCCCACGCATTTCGATTTTCTTCTTCCTCTTCTTCTGCGAGGACGGAAACTTTCAGGGGCGTCCGCCCAACTCCAGTTGGCGGCACGTCTGCCCCCAACACCGGCAAAGCTCGCCTTTTCAGCCCCCGACCGGAGTCAAGGGGTTAGTCCATCTCAAAGTGGCGTTCCGTTGTTTGATGTTTCAATGCTATGCATACAGTGAATTCCCAAATATCTGCAATCGGGGGCATGGAGTACCTCGACATTCTGGAAGAAACTATCCGGAACTGACCAGTGTCGCAAAAGGGCTAAGCTCATGGCTGGAACATGTCGAAAGACTATGCGATAGAGGGGAATCGCCACTAGAGTCCGGGACGTTAGATCCCCCCCGGTGTTGCCATCGGGGTTGGGTTTTCGTCCGTTCATTACTCGAACTGTTACATGGGTGGGGTCAATACGGTACGACTTTGCGCACAGCCGGCCGACCCACAGAAAAAGCGACCTGTCTGGCGAGCCACCCTGCTGGACCACCGCTTTCCATGTGGTACTGGGGGGCGAGTGTGCCGCTCGCACCGTGCGCAATGATACCTGCTATACCGTCTTTACCTCTGCTACCGGCCAACCACGTTGCCCTCTGCAGGAAATTTTCAGTATGACCCAGTCCCAATCCCTGGGTGAGTGGTGCGAACCCTTGTTGGATGTTCACAATCACCCACCTTGTGAAAATATATGTTGCCGGTGAGCTCGCCTTCTGCGAACATTACTTCGAGTGCCGGGATTACTGGATTCATGACGTTCATCTTCTTCGTGCGCCCGTTGGTGACGATGTCAACACGATCCCATTTCTGATGTTTAATGGCCCGCACGTAGTACTGCAGCGGCGGCTGTTCGAGGGAAGAAAGCCAAGAGACGGAGAAATGGGGCGAGAGAGAAAAAAATGAAGCGATTCAATCCTACCAGAGACCCTGCAAGCAATATATCGGCAGTCAGCTCCAGCATCGAGGCCTCTTGCGCAGTATCCACACACTTGAAGAGTATAAGACGTGTATGTGCGTGTGCTTTCCCCCCGCGAGACAAAAGTCAGGGCCAACGGTGTTCGAGGCAAAGGTTGCGGTTTCACGAGCACCGTGGTAGCCATGGCGACATTCGATGGGCGGCTTGTTGAAGAAGTCCTGGCGATCCCTGTCGTTGCGGAGAACCCGACGCATCGTGGAAACAATCCCCGCCGCTCTTCGCTCGAACGAATGCTCGTACCGTGCAGCGAAGCAGCACCAAACAGCCCGCCCACTCACCTGCCCATACCCTGGTGCCGCTGGATCGACGAAGATGTCCCCGGACCTGACGTGAATCACGAGTGTATTTGCTGGCCGCCCCTCCTCCTCCTCGCTACCCACCAGGTTCTTTTTCACCCCTGGACCCGATCGGCCGCTCGCCCCATTGCCGCGTTGCTCATGCACAACATCGCCAGTGGCCGTTCTGTCCGAGAGGCAGACGTCGACGCCCATCGGGAAGAAGTAGGCGGCCTCGCACCCGGTCAGCCTCGGCACCGTCTCGACGCAGGTGCTCAGGTTCGGGCTGTAGTAGGGGTGGCTCGGGTTGTCCACTGGCAAAACACGTGTGTGCGTATGCCGCATGCGGCAGGTCAGTGGATGGCTGGATGAGAGGTGGCTGGCATCGGTTTCGCGCTTTCGGAGGAGCAACACCCATTGGTTCGGTTTCCCAAACGAGCATGATTTGCAGCTAACACGGCCAGTTTTCGTGTGCCGCAAGTTTCTGATGCTCATGTCATGTTGAGAGACACCGGGTAAGAACGAACGTGGACTACGCGCGGGCTGGCTGGGATGTTCGCTACTGGCTTCGAGCACTGGAGTGCAACAGAACGGGAGAGGAAAAGAGCGGAAAATCGAGCAAAAAGATGAGGAAAATAGTGCGACATGGTGGTGTTCCCAACACAACGACATCAATCCTACGGAGGTAATCCGACAAAGCGTACGTTGCGCACTCGAAACACTCTTGCGACATGTCGTGGAACAACAACAATCGCATGCCCAACTACATGCCCAAAGTTCTCTCCTCTCACATCCGAGAAGGTGGAAAGCTTCTCTCCCGCCCCACGTGATATCCGCTGGGCAGCTAGACGCGTCGAATCCCTCTACATCCGGAGCGTTGGTGAAGTCATACCACCGGGGTCCGGGGGTCCCCTCACCAAAAATACCAGGCGCCAGCGTGTCGTCCTTTGCAGGCAATGACACCTGCGTCGCACAACAGCAAATCACGTTCCGCCGGGCTAGGTTCATCCTAATCGCAATTGCTATCCGCGCCGTTCATGTGTTTCGGGATAGCGTAGCCTCTCGCGAGCGCTCCCGCCCAAACAAAAAAGGGCCAGGGAGGCATGGGTCGACCTCTTTGGCGCATCTGCGTCAATAGAATACAGAAAACACAGCAGTGTTGTGCCCCATAATTCGGTGCAAATATTTCTCACACATACCGTTGGCTTGGTGCCAATGGTACAAATATCAAATCGCTGGACGCTTGCGCGGCACAAATCATCGTCACGATGGGCGCAGCCCAATGCCGGCGATAAGGGGGAGCGTTGTCAACGATGTTGTGGTGATCGGTGCGTCGAAAGTCAGCAATATTTGTGGGCCGAAATCTGGTACACTTGTCCAATGTTAGAAGCCGAAGACGCCGCCCACCGAATATACGATGCACCAAATACCCCCGTTCCCATTTTCTCAAAAACGTTCTGTATGCGCATTTTCGAGGCTTGCCGTCATATCGGCCAGCACAGGATCTCCCCAAACGAGTTTCGAACGCGCGCCCACATGCACTGCTGCAAACTTGACGCCGGTCCGCACTAACCAGCTTCGACTTGCAGCAGTAGCCAAGTTTCAAGTTCACCCCGAGAGCCCAGAAGCGGTTTCCCAGGCGGCCGAAACGAAAGTCATTGATGGTGAGAACGTTGCCCGGAATGGCTGGGTCGCGCATTCTCAACCTTTCCCCTGGCGTTCGAAGGATGTAAGGGCAGTCCGGGTTGAACGCGAAATGTCGCCGTTGGTCCTGGCCGCCATAGGCGTGTATGTCCCGCCTGAGATTCGAGGATTGGCAGGAGAGGAGGAAGGCGTAAGAAAGTGTTCGCTTCCTTGACAGAGGCGGGGGGCAGATTTGGCCCGAGGTTGGATGATGGCGGCGTGCTTTCGCGGAGAGTTAGAAATCAATCACACTTTCCTCCGGGGTTCAAATAGTCCGACGCAAGGGGCAAGAACCCCGTTGCCGAACATGTGCCAGGTAGGAATTGGTGTATCTCGTACGCATTCATTCGAGGTTTGTGCGCAAGGTAGCATCAAAGAGCGGCGCCAACACGAGCCGACAAACCCTGAGACACGCTTGTTGCCCCCAGAGAAGCAAAACAAAACCAAACCTAAACATAGACTACATTTAATCAACGATAATCGACAAAAAGAGAAAACGGGAAAAAAACGCCAGCTCATTCGAGCACCAGCATTTCGCACCATCTCGTCGGGATGAACAAGATTCCCAGAGCCACGACCACGTAGACAAGCAGCAGCGCAGAAAAGGCCCTCGCTGGCCGGGGAAGCCTTGGTCCCCTCCAGCCAACCGTGCGATCGGTGCCGGCTATTCCAGTCCTCCCCCCGACGTTTATGTTCCCGTCCGCGGCGCCGTCATCTCCTGGTGAATCTAACAAAGCATTATCTTCCTCCTCGCCACCCGGCGCCCACGCGATCCCCTTGCTTTCATCCCCCCGCCCATCGTCAGATATATGAACAGCTCTCCGCACAGCGGTGTCTCTCCCTGCTGCCGGAGGGGAAAATTATCGTCGACAAAAAGACCGCGGATGAGTGCGTGCGTGCGTGGTGCGTATTCCAACTAGACTATGGGCCTGCGGGTGTCATCCCGGGAAATCATCGGCCTCTTTCACATCGCACTCCTGCATGCCGAAGCGAGGGAGAACCAGCTCGATAGTGCAGCAACAGCACCACGCCATTGTACAGCGAAATTCAGCTGCAAACCTGAACGTGCCAGCGCATGGTGTCCTCTACTTCTCGAAAACAGTAGATGATGAAACATTGGGAAGGTTTCTATCTATTGTAGATACGTTGGATTATTAGAAAAGTATGCATATTAGCCCGATACTCCTATAATAATAGAGCCAGCGTCAGGAGAAGGTTGACGTCAGTCCAGCGCTCGGCGTTCGGAAAATGTCAGCGTTCTTTCATGGGGGCTCGACGGAGTCGGACTTTATCGTCTAGTAGAGAGTTCAGATAGCTCAAGCCAGAGGTAAAACATGACCACCTGCTGGTTGCACTCTTAACGCAGCTCGTCCCCACAATGTGCAGTGCTTGTACTGTAAGTCTGTCGTCGCTCTCGGGTCCACTATCATTTATCCGACCCTTCCCGGGTTCATTTTCAAGCCTTGTCAATAAATCGCTTGCCCAAGCATAGCTTTCACCTACTTGAGCGTCGGCATACCTCCCATTCCCCTACGTGCAGCAAATACACCAGTAGTCTAGTCGGCGCTTCGGAGAGCGGTCACAGGGGGGCGAGGTGGCGAGGCAGCTCGTGAGCACGTCTGCTGCACCCGTTCGGCGTCCGTTCTCTGTGCGTTAATGCATCCAGACCCTCCCTCCTTCTAGAAACAGGCTCCGGCCGGTCCCACACCCACACCAACCATGTACTTGTAGTTGTCCTTGGCCGTTGGGCGTGAGCCCTAGCAGTGTGGAGGACTGCCATCTGCTACGTCGACCTGTTGGGTACGTAGTCCCGCGACAGAATCCCGCCGCACTTTTTGGGAGGAAGGAGTTGTGGAATCCATATTGGCCGCGGCTGCAAGCTGGGGACAGAGGCCAATACCCCCTCAACGCTCTTGGCGCACCACTCGACCGTGTTGACCGTTTTCTTGACGATCCGAACATAGAGACTCCCCAGCACATCCCCTTCGACTCTGTGGGTATATGCATACCTCGAACGGGTAGTCTTTTGGTGTTTGTACTACTATATAGTTCCGTGATGATGGAATTATTATATTGTGGGGATGTTTTTAGTATTATAGTACTAAACTGCAGCTTACGAAGCTGCAACTCGTCCTTGGAAGAGAGAGAATGAATTTCCTGCACGTGGTTCACATTCACTGCCTTCCCCCTGGCGGTGCCTGCAACAACGACGACCGCCCCACTCCGAGCGAAGTTGTATTTTGCTACCCCTATCTAATCACTCACTGAAAAGACTCCACCACATCCCGTTCGACTGTGGGTATATCTCGAATGGGTAGTCTTTCTGTGTGTGTTTATATTATTATTGCTTAATCTCCGTTCCGGACAAAAAATATTTTATTGGGGCTGGCTGTACTGTTCTTTACTGTATTTGTTGGCCTAGGTTATGTTGTTTACAGTTTACAACGTCGTCCCCGAAGAAGGCGGTAGAATATCACTATCTTTTGTGGCGGCTTGCCGTCGGGACTCCACTAACTGCTGCATGGAAGTTGTTGCATTATTATGTATGGTCCATGCACAACAATTTGTCCAGTCACGGTTCGTGCGAAAACTTTCGCAAGAAATCGAGTTAGTATTAGTGATAAGAAAGAAATTGAGCCAGGCTGTTAATAATAGTGATCCCCACATCAAGGCGAGCAAAAAAGGTTTGAAGAAAAAAATTGGACACCCCCTCTGAGATCAAGAAATTATGGAGCACAAAGAGTTCGAGACTGGAAGAAAAAACGTGAACGAATTTGGACAAAACGTGGCTTTCCTCGCGAAATTTCGTTTTGCTCGGAAAACCGAAAAGAAAACCCGTCAGCTAGCTCGTGACCAGAGGAATCGTTTGTCACGCTCGTTTTTGAAATCCTAAAGTTGGATCGCCCACATAAAACGATGGCAAACGGCCTTCAAACTTCCAGATGCGTTTTTGTCCGTATCTCGTGAAATTTCGTTTTGCTTGGAAAAACAAAAAGCCGGTCAGCTAGCTCGTAACCAGAGAGGAATCGTTTGCCGTATTCTTTTTTGAAATCCTAAAGTTGGACCACCCACAAAATAAAAAAACGATTCTTGGATAACGAGTCAAGGAACAACAATAAAATCCCGCTTGAGGAAGATAGATGCGCCTGAAGACAAGGCGTTTGGTGGTACTTTCGGATTTCGGACAACCCACCCCCGAGAAAAGGGCACCTTCGTGCTGGGGAAATGTTGGACTTACTGTTGCGCATGGACCATACTTCAGGAACGTTCTGATTTGGCAACACGCGAATTCGCTGAGAGGCAAATGAAGGACATCACTTTCCTACATGCTGCACATACATGTGAGAGAGATAGTGCGACTGATGATTGTACAAAGAGAATAAAACAGGACGATGAACTCGAGCTACTTAGACTTGACTGCATGGGATGAGGCTCGACGAGCAAGAAAAAAACTACATATATATGCATACTTCCAAGAACCCCATAGTTAGGCGAGACAAGCGAGGGGTGGACGAGAACTCGACGAGCAGTAAAACAACCACACCACCACCACCAAGTACGTGCAGTCCAGCGCCGGTAGCACAAACTCAGCCACGTGCAGGATTTTTATGTACACTTCCTCCATGCATACCCTGGGTTCCCACGGATGATCCCCTGCTTGCTGCACAATGCGCTTGTCTTCTTATTGCTACCGAAGACCGGGACAAGAGACTGGTGAATAGCGTACAAGTGATTCAGCAGCCAGCCGTCGACCTCTCCACAAAAAACGATAAAAATACGAAGAACCTGTCCCGGCTTGGTCGGCCACCGCTTACAGTATGTAGTAGCAGCACCGGCGACACAAGTTCCATGCCGCAGTGCTTCTTATCACCCCCGTCGCAAGGATAGCCGCCGTACGGCCCGGAGAGGAACACCGACAGCAGAGGGAAAACTGGCCAAGATGTGAATCAAACGGGTATAAAATAAAGCCCCCGTCACCAATAGTATCGGGGAGCACCCGCGCTGCTGCCACCGCCCCCTCCGTTGCCAGCGGACGAATAGGCGGAGCCCCCCCCCGTCCTCCTACCGCTTCTTCCGCCGCGACCACCGCCAACACCACCGCCCCCGCTACCGCCACCGTTGCTGGGAGGGGTTTCGATCGTATAGCGACGTGTCCGGTCGTACTGCTGCTTCGAGTCCGGGGAGGTGAGGATGCGGTAGGCCTCCGACACGAGCCTGAAGCTGCGGGCAGCCCCGTCGGACTTGTTCTTGTCTGCAGAGTGCGCGCCCGCACACGAACGAGAGGGGGTGTGAGGCCAAGGACATTCATTTCCATGAAATTAATTTCCATGAAAGAGTCACTTGTACAAACACGAATAAATGGATGATAAACACACAACAAGTTGTGCCGAGGTCGGGAGCGCCCAGGACAGGTGTGTCATTTATCGCCAAACCAATAAATGAATGCTGACAGCGTCGTCATCTCGATATCGAGCTCTGTTTTTAGTTACGCTCCAAGTTGTACACATGTATGTTGCGTGCGCACTTTCCGACACCTCGTGCTATTCGTGGATGAGAGTCGGCGGTTCAAAATGCCGCACTGTCAAGCTGGAATTCAAGGGTCGAGCGATGCCGAATGGCGTAGGACAAGCATAACGCACCTGGATGATACTTGAGTGCCAGCTTGCGGAAGGCTTTCTTGATGGCGTCTTCTGAGGCATTTGCAGGAAGGCCCAGACGTCGGTAGTAGCTCTCGCTATCGATCTGAACGGAAAAGAGGGAGAAAGGGATAACGAGAGAGGGGGGGGCAGAGAGAGAGCCAGACACAACACACAAAGAGACATTCAACACGCTTCAGGTTCTCCAATCACGGGGACGATTTACTCTGTCGGCCACTGTTTACCTCCCCGACTTCAACACCGCCGCAGCCGCTCCTAACTCGAAGTGCTTGCTACCCTCCCCCCTACTCCCCCCCCTCCTCCGTCGTACGCTATCGCGCGTTACCCCCGCCACGCATACATACCTTGGGAGACCGAGCGACGCCGCTGCCCCTCGCTGGGGTCTTCATTCCATCACCACCAACACCGTAGCCTCCGCCAGCAGCGGCACCACTACCACCACCACAAGACGACGACGACCCCGGGCGAGACCGTGTGCCAGGTTTCTGGAAGGGAGACGCGGCGCCACCCCCCGCTCCCGTACCCGCGGCACCACGCCGCATGGGTGTGCGGTTGCTGCGAAAAACAAGCGCCATACAACACACAGGCAACGAACGGCAAGAAAACGCACGCGAGGAAAGGGCAAGTCCCCAAGAGGGTGTGAGCTTCGACGTTGTTGCCGAATTTCAAGGATTCGTGCAACTCATGACGTTGCAGAAGGTCGGGCGGGGGGGAGGGGGGGGGGGGGGGAGGAGACCCCCGTTTTAAATCCCAACAAAAAAAAAGCCCCCCCTTTCCCGTAAAAACGTCTACCACCCCCTTCCCCTCCCCCTCGGAAGCGGGAGGGAGGCCCACAAAACTCCTTTCGGGGATGCAAAACGCCCAAGGCACCCAAAAAGGAGGACCCCCACTAATGTAAACCCCGGCTCCAAAAAATGCCCTCCCCAGGGGAAACAAACACCACCAAAGCGTTTACCCCCCGGGAAATTCTGCGTTGTGCCCTCAAAAGGGGCTCCCCTCAAAAAAGCTAAGGGTCCCTGAATTTTCCTTTTTGAAGCACCGTTTCCCCCACCGCCTCCGCGTTTGCCGGTTGCCCCAACCGGGGGCCCCTTTTGGGCCGCCCCCCCCCCCCCCCCAACCTTTTCCTTTTTCCCCCCCGCTTTTTGCTGTTCCCCAGCGGCGGCGGG